ATTTCACAACACCTTAGGTGGTTCCAACCTCCACAAGCCTCAGTTAGCTCACCGGCAAGGTGGGTGCTGTTTTCCCAGAGCTGAATATCAAGACCCAGAGCTGAGGACAGAAAAACAACGTTAACCTCACAGTTTAAGGTGGCAGAATCACCAGCAGTTGGGGCTTGTTTCCTAGTCCTTGCATATCTTGCCAAAGCACACAAGTTCAGCAGAATCTGTGCCACACAATTTCCACCTCCTGATTTGACGAGAATTGGCTGGAAGAAGGATGTCGCCTTTCAGAGAGAGAAATTCATGAAGATGAGCTTTCCCTTCCTTACTTCCTCATGAAGAGGAAGAGATAAGGACTTGGGGGTGCCTGCAAGGGCGACCAGTTGAACACCTTCTTGGTCATTGAACTCAACGACCTGCCCTTGTGCTCCCAGGACAGGGCACAACATGTAACTCTTACATTTTAACTGGACACGTGACTCTATCTGGAATAAAGACTGGATGTCCCAGACCCTCCTTCATCGAGCTGAGGCCATGTGACAAAGTTCTGACCAATAGGATGTGAGTGGCAGTGACGTGTGAGACTCCAGGTTGCGCCCTTTAAAGAGAAGCCATGACCTCTCCACTTTCTCTTCTCTCCCTTCCCACTGGCTGGAATTTAAGCCTGGCAGACAGGATGGCAATCATCATTCAGATGCAAAAAACGCTCTCAAGGATGGCAGAACAACAAAACAGAAGAAGCTTGGATCCTTATCTGCCCTGGACAGCTTATGCAAAACTCTTCAGTGAATGAAAAATATATCTCTATTATGTTTGAGCTACTCTGTTTTGAGGTTCCTAACTAATACACAAGGGGAAACAAACTCTTGATGGTGAACTGCCAGGTGGATAGGGGACCAGCTCTATCCCCACCTAGTTCCTAACTCCCAAGAGGTATAGAGAATAGTACCTGCATTGGTTTGCCAGGGCTGCCATAACGAAGTATGAGTAGCTTTGAACAACAGAAGTCTATTGTCTCGCAGTTCTGGAGGCTAGAAGTCTGAAATCAAGGTGCTGGATGGGCCATACTCCTTCTAAACCTGCAGGAAAAGGATGCTTCCTTGCCTCTTCCTGCTTCTGGTAGCCCCAGATGTTCCACGGCTAGTGGACACATCACTCCAATCGCCCACGGTCACGCGGCATTCTCCTTGTGTCTCTTCACATCATCTTCCCTTTGTACATGTCTGTCCCTGTATCCAAATTTCCCCTTTTTTAAAGCCCTGTTGGATTAGGGCTCACCCTAATGACCTCATTTTAACCTGATTACCTCTGTAAAGACCCTATTTTAAACTAAGGTCATATTCTGAGGTTAGGATTTCAACATGTTTTTGGGGGGGACACAATTCAACCCATAACACGGCCACAGAAGGTACATAAGATTTCTGGGTTAGTCTGTCTCCAGATTGGTGCAGCTAATGGAGTAAAGAGTCAGTGCATGAAAGGAACGCAATGCGATAGCACCAGCTGGAGATGAGCAAATAGATGTTGCTGCTGACATTAAATAACAGGTAACTGGGCTACAGTTCCGGGCATTGCTTTCAGTGCTTCCATATATGAACTCCTTTATTCCTCAGCACAACCTGCTGGGGGAGGCACCACCATTACCCCATTTGATGGAACAGGAAAATGAGGTGCAGAATGGTTAAGTAACTAGGCCAACGTTACAAGCCATAAGTGGCAGAGCTGGGATTTGAACCTAGGTGGTCTGCCTTGAGAGGCCATGTCTTAACCAGTTCAAAGGGGACCATCAATGCCTGTTGGAGATGGTATGGCTGTCATGGCCAATGGCTGTCCTCATCCAGTCCACAGATGAGCTTGAACAGTAGTTTCAGCCAGCCAAAGAGAAGACATTATTAACCATGTCTTGGGCAGTCAGTGTAGGTGACATATGTCTTTCCTCACTCCCGTCCTCACCTCAGACTAGAGGTAACTCAGTTCAGGAGATGGCATGAGGCATGTGAGCGCTAACAAGACCCCCTGGCCCTCAGGCCACTGGAGCCACAGGTCCAGAGGCTGAGATTTTGGGGTTTTTTTTTTTTTGAGGAGGATTGGCCCTGAGCTACCATCTGTTGCCAATCTTCCTCTTTTTTTTCCCTTTTTCTCCCCAAAGCCCCAGTAGATAGTTGTATGTCATAATTGTACATGCTTCTAGTTGCTCTATGTGGGACACGGCCTCCGCATAGCTTGATGAGTGGTGCATAGGTCCGAGCCCAGGATCCGAACCAGTGAACCCCAGGCTGGCAAAGCAGAGCCTGTGAACTTAACTGCAACACCACCGGGCCAGCCCGGAGGCTGAGTTTTAAAATGAGCAGAGCTCTTCCTACTCTCTTTTTCCTCAATTAGTTAGAACTTGGTATTTTTGAATTTTTACAGAGTGAGGCAAAACCCAAGTTGTGAAAGTATTGATTGTATCCAGAGAGGGGTGCGTACTCATAGTTCATAGGTACTTTCAACAGTTGGAGAGGAGTTGGGAGAGGGGCGCCTGGACCTTGCACTGGCACTGATATAATTTATGACTCCTGAACTTTATGATGGACTCGTGGGCTTTTGATGTATAGGAAACCTCTGTTAAGACACTGTAAACCAAGTCAGCTGTTTGTCATAAGCAAAAGCTCTCCTGAGCACTCTGGAGTCCCCCGGACTGTGGAGAACCAAAGGGTTTAGGGCACTGATAATGGCGCGGGTGTACTTTTCAATCCTGTGCAACATGCAATTCTTGTAACAATCAAAACAGTGTTGAATGATGGCAATACGTTCACTCTGGAATGAGAAAAGGACCGTAGGATCACACTGCAAATGGCACTTTTAAAGCTGTTCATAGACTCTGTACCTTGTTCTTTGATAATAATGGATTAAATTTAAAATGTACATTCGTTACGGCCAGGTAGAGCTGGGGAGGGAGGGAGGTAAATGTTTAAGGGAATTCTGACATGTAAAGAAACTCGCCATTTATTTATATAATATGCTAAGCTCCAAAAAGTATTTTAAGACTTGGTATTCCCTAAGTGGAATGTGATTTTATTGTATTTTTAGTAGCAATTTTGGATCTAGGTTGATAGCAATGAATGTCTCAATAAATTGAAATTTGATGATTAATAAAATAACACATAGGGTTGAGCCCTTAACAGAATGAGAGAACCAAAAGAGACTGAAAAGTTATAGAGTTGGATTGAGATTTTGTAAACATTAGCCTTGGACTCAGCAGGTAAAGCAGAGTTAATAACTGTTATATGATATAAAACTGGTTCATGTTTACAATCCATTGAGTTAAGATGTTTTCCCAAACTGTCTACAAGGATAATTCTTACCCTACAGGTAAGTGGGGCTGTGGGGCAACAGGGGCAGGGGCAGGACGACAAAGACGACAACCTTAAGTGAAAGCATTTCACAGGCTGTCAAGTAGTTGATAAATGTTAGCTGAGCCCAGACCAAGAAGTGGGAGAGAGAGAGTTGAAGGTCTTCTGGAAATGTCCAAAAACACCAAGAGAAACCCCGAATCAGCAACCTCAGCATGCTTCCTTATGCTGATCTATGTCTATGAGGGTGACCTCCTGAGAGAGCAGATCTGTGGAGAGCTGAGAGCAGGGTGTAGGCAGGTGGGAGGCAATACTGAGGTTCTGAAAAATCCCACAAACCACCCAGGGGACACTGTAGCACCAGCAATACGGTACCTGGGATATTACTGGCTTTAAAAAATACTGTCTGCAGAGCTGATCTCACGGCTGGGATGGGACGACTCAGATATTCTGGATACCACCTTGGCCACCATTGCATAAGCCATCTCATCACACTTCCAACCATCCATAAGGCAAGGTCCAGGAGAATGTCTCCATCCAAAGACAGGTTCACGGAGCTGACGCTGGGGTGGAAGGGAACATTGTAGATGGTCTGGAAAGGCCTCAAACCATCATACGTTGATCTGAAAGATGAGCTCCAAGAAGCAGCCAATCGGAGATGGAGCCCATGCAGGTCATGCCAACGTCTGTAGCAAAATGACTATTCCTAAGATGCTATACACCACACCCAGAGGATCTCAGCACGAATGGTCTCATTGTCCTATGCCTGCAAGGACACAACCCAGAGTGTCCTCTTTGAAGAGTTATCCATCCATCTGTGAACTTCTTAAAATTTGATGACCACCACCGGGAAGGCCTCAGCACCAGAGGTCTATGTGCAGGCGGTGGAGGAGGGTCCTGGAGTGCTAACATTTGAGAAAGTTCCTACAGCTCCCACCTGCATTGGTGGCTACCCAGATGTTCTTTATGCCACAAACTGCCAATGGGAAGTCCTTGCCACAGGATGACCTTATTATCAATGGTTTTGGTAAAGACCTTCTGCAAAGTCCTTCTCAAGAGTATTTTGTGGCTCACATGGGCATGTGTGGCACTTCTTCAAATGTCACAAACCACTGCTGGGGACCCCTTACCACCAGTGTCTTCATGCCTTGGACCCGTGCTATCCAAGAGGGCAGCAGCTAACCATTTACATTTTAATTTAATTAAAATTAAGTACATTTCAAAATTCATTCACGTTTTGGTGAAATCTGAATAAGATCTGTACCTGGATTAACAGAATTGTACCGACATCAATTTCCTGGGTTTTTGACAACATCTTACGGCTATCTAAGATATCATCACTGGGAGAAGCTGGGTAAAGAGTACATGGGAAGGCTCTGTGCTATTTTTGCAACTTCCTGTGGGTCTTAAACTATTTCAAAATAAAAAGTTACCCAAAAAAATAATAAAATCACTTCTGCAGTGGTACTAACCATATTTCAAATGATCAAAAGGCCACATGTGCCTGGTGGCTAAGATATTGGACAGGGCAGATAAAGAACTTTCTATCACTGCAGAGAGTTCCACTGGAAGGCGCTACCCTAAATAGGCCTCAGTTGCACATGGTTACCCCCTATTACCGCTGTGGGGACACTGAGCCCCCTCCTTGGCCCCCCACTGCCTGGCACCCAGCCCTCACGCGTCGCGATGCACCCTCTGATGCTGCAGCAGGTTGCTGGGATGTGCGAAGCTTTTGCTGCAGATGCTGCACTTATAGGGCGTGTCTCCCGTGTGCACCTTCTCGTGGACCGCACGGTAGGCCAGGTCCTTGAAGAGCTTGGGGCAGAAGCGGCAGGCATAAGGGCGCACAGGGTCGCCCGTGTGCACGCGCCCGTGCACCCGCAGGCTGTGCCCGGACGTGAAGCGCTTGCCGCACACCCGCACGCACGAGGCTTGTCCTCGCAGAGTTGCCGCCGGTGCAGAAGCAGGGCCGGCCCCATTGCGAAGCCCTTGCCGCAGTCCCGACAGGAGAAGGGCCGCGAAGGGGCGTGCAGTGGCTCCTGGGCGTGCAGCTCGTAGGGGGTCTTGAAGCGCTTCGGGCGGGCAGGACGGACAGGGAAAGGGGCGCTCGCCCGTGTGGAGGCGCTGGTGCTCCTGGGGGCAGGGACAGCACAGAGAGCGAGGAGCAGCCGCCCACCTCTGCAGGACGCGCATCTCCTGGTAGACTCACCCCTAATACTTGCGAGGTCTCCGGAAAAGAGACCAAATGTAAGTGCACATGCCATATGCCAAAACATTTTAAAAATTACAAATCAAACTATTAAATATGTTCTTCCTCCTACTTTGACAAATAGACCTTCATAATGACCTACAACACCAGGTCCAAATTTATAATTTTTGGAATCCTCATGATGCGGGCGCGGATATCAGTTCCCCTACATCAAACCCAGCATATATGGGGTTAAAACCAAAAGCACTCATCCTCTTTCCACGCTTCTCCAAGTTACATTCATATGTAAATATAGGTTTTTTTTTTAAAACCTTTGAATTCCTAAACTTCACGTGGCAGATAGAAGTTACAAATTGTTAAAAGCCCAGGTGGCCTCAAGCTGGGCTCACTCTGAAGTTTTGGCTAATTACCAGTTCTTGAGGTTTGTTACAAGGAAACCGATATCCAGAAAATATCAAGGAGCTGAAGCTTCTCAGACCTCAACTCCTTGGCTTCCTGGGGCCAGAATCCACTACGGAGACCGCTGAAGGACGCGCGCCAGAATCCACTACGGAGACCGCTGAAGGACGCCCACCCGCGATTCCCTTTTCCCTTATCTCGCCATCCTCCTCCCTGTCAGCAGCCAGGCCAAACACAGGCTGATGGGAAAATGCCAACCAGCAAGGCCACAGGCTCCCCCTCCCTACAAGCAGCCACATTCCTCACAACCTTTAAAACCCCTTGTCTCCCACCTTTTGGGGAGATGGGACAAATTTGAGAGCTCTCATCTCCCAGCTGACGTCCCCCAAAATAAAAACTCTTTCCTCGCCAGGAGCCTGGTGTTCTAGTTTCATTTGGCTCCTCTTGCGTGGTGGGTAAAGAACCTGGGTACGTATCTGGTAACACTCAGAGTTGCACTTGGTCGAACCAGGAGAGCTGGCCCTGCTTTTCGGCCCTCAGGGGACATGGCACACACAGATGCACAGCCCAGCCCACACGTCCAACCCTCCCTGCCATCCTTCCTGCCTATAGTGAACATGCCGGCAGGGCAAAGTGCACCCTTGATGGTGGATCTGGAGAGAGCCCTGGAAGCGGCCTGGAGGCTCCTTGCGCAGGGAATTCCAGGGTTTCTTGTCCCCCTGGCCACACAAGGAGGGGCACCGGGAGAGGGTCAGCACAGCACCCGGTAACATGAGGCATCAGGGTAGGTCTCTGAAAGCCGGGCTCCTCCAGGCTAACACCAGGCCTGTCCCTTCTCCCATCATGGCCCTCAGCACACCTGCCCCCCTCCCCACCCACTGGACGCCTCCCTTTCCAGTACTGTCTCCTCCAAATCTGACCCCATCTCCTTACCCACCTCAAAAACCCATCCCCATTTCTCATCATCTCATGACCACCCCGACCGCCACCTCCCTCAGCGGCAAGTCTACTTTCTTTAGGCTTCTCCCCTCACATCTTTCCTGAGCCTTTTCCACCTTCTAGCCACCTCCACACCCATTTAACCCCTCCCAACTCCAAGGCCAGGTCACTCCCCCATTCCCTTCAGGCCCAGCCCTGCTCTCCCTCTTCCCCAAGGCCCTGCTCTCTCTATTGCCAGAAAGCTCCACCCTTTCCTTCGGACCCCGCCCAATCTCCAGTCCGCTGCCCAGCCCTGTCCTTTTCCCCAGTCCCCGCCCTTCCCTTCAGGTCCCGCCTCTCCCTTCAGGTCCCGCCCCTCCCTCCAGGTCCCGCCCACCACTGGTCCACTGTCCTGCCCCTTTCCCCAGTCTCCCCCCCTCCCTTCAGGCCCCACGCACCACTGGTTCTGCGTCCCGCCCCCTTCCCCAGTCCTCGCTCCTCCCTGAGGCCCCGCCCACATCCGGACCCCTGCCTTGCCCCTTTCCCCAGTCCCCGCCCCTCCCTCAGGCCCCGCCCACCTCTGGTCTCCCGCCCTGCCCTTGCCCACAGGCCCCGCCCCTCCCTGCAGGCCCCGCCCCAGGCCCCGCCCACGGCTCCCCACCTGCAGGTGGCTGGCCCGCTTGAAGCGCTTGCCGCAGGCGTGGCAGCGGTGCGGCCGCCCGTCGCTGTGCACCAGCCGGTGGCTCTTGCAGTCCGAGTGGCTCTTGAAGGCGGCCGCGCACAGCCCGCAGAGGAAGGGCCGGGCCGCCGTGTGCACCACCTCGTGGCTCAACAGCTCCCACACTTGCTGAAGGCCTTCCCGCAGGCCGCGCGGCCGAACGGCCTGGCCCCTCCAGGATCTCAGCGCCGTCGCGGGGGGAGCCTGGCGCCCCCTTCACCGAGCGCTCCGCCGCCGCGCCGTCGGGGACCAGGCGCCCGGTCGAGTACCCCCCGTGCTGGTCGATGAGCCGCAGCAGGGCCGGCGCCTCCGCCTCGCCTCCTCCGGGAGCCTGGGAGAGGAGGAGGGAGGGCTCAGTCCCTGGGTCATCCCCGATCCCACCGCTGCCCAGCGGCGGGACCCTGGGCTTGAGGCTGCAGCCGCCTCATCTATCAAATGAGCAGATAACGGGACCTCCCTCCTGGAGCAGAGATGCGGCTTAAATGGGTTAATACTGAAATCCTGCTCCTGCACCCCACTCCAGCTCCTGACGTCTTCAGGTCAGCAAAAGGCAGCCCCTTCTTTCCTTCCAGGTGCTCAGGGCAAAAGCCTGACACCTCTTGCGCACACACCTTCATCCAATCCCTCAGCAAACCCGTTGGCTCTATCTTGCAAATACGTCCAGAGTCCGATCACTTCTCACCGTCTCCACAGCCACCACCCTCTAAGCCAAAATCGTCTCTCCCCCGGGCTACTGCAGTTTTCTCCTCTCTGGGCTCCCTGCCTCAGTCCGCGACCTCCCCACTGTGTTCCCCACAGGGCGCCAGAGGGCGCCTGTGAACAGCTAAGTCAGTTTACCTAAGTCCCTCCTCAGCTCGGAGCCCTCCCCTGGCGCCCCTCTAGCTCAGAGAAAAGCCCAAGTCCTCGGCACGACCCATGAGACCCTGCGTGACCTGCCCGCCTTCCCTCTTTGACCTCATTTTCACCTCTCCCCTGGCTCACTAGGCTCTGGCCACACTGGCCTCCTCCAGGTTCCTCCAGGGAACCCTCTTCCTGGAGATGGCTTCAGGGTTCCTCTCTCACCCTTGTCAGGCCTTTGCTCAAACGTCACTTCTCACTGAGGCTTTTCCTTACCACCCTGTTTAAAATGGAAACTCGGGCTTCCCTCTGACTCTTCCTACCTCCTTCCTGGCTTTAATTTTCTCCATAGCACTTATCTTTGGATGTGAGCCTGGAGCTGCCTGTGTCCACCTTTTGCACTTTTGGGGAAGAGTCAGCCCGGCAATGAAGCTGTCAGAGAGGAAAACAGCACCAAGAGAAGGGAGAGACAGCTTCCTGATGAACACCTAGATCTAGCTACACCTGAAGCATCAACTCCTCCACTTTTTGGTTAGGTGAGGCAATAAATGACCTTTCGTTGCTTAAGCAGTTTGAGTTGGGTCTTCTGCCATGTGGGAGGCTCAATAATGGACTGCAAATACATCCAGGCCCTAAATCCTTGGAGCTTGTGCAGGTTACCTTAAATGGTAACAAGGACTTTGCAGATGTGATTAAATTAAGGACCTTGAGATGGGGAGATCGTCCTGGACTATCTAGGTGGCCCTAAATGTAATCACAAGTGTCCTCATAAGAGGGAAGCAGAGGCTGGCCTGGTGGCATAGTGGTTAAATGCGCATGCTCCACTTCGACGGCCTGGGGTTCACAGGTTCGGATCCCGGGCGCAGACCTATGCACCGCTGGTCAAGCCACGCTGTGGCAGGCATCCCACATAGAAAGTAGAGGAAGGTGGGTACAGATGTTAGCTCAGGGCTAATCTTCCTCAGCAAAAAGAGGAGGATTGGCAACAGACGTTAGCTCAAGTCTGATCTTCCTCACCAAAAAAAAAAAGAGGGAAGCAGAGGGAGATTTGACACAGAAGGAGGCGATGTGACCACTAAACCAAGATGCTACGCTGATGGCTTTGAAGATAGAGGAAGGGGCCAGGAGCCAAGCAATGTAAGGAATGCAGCTCTAGAAGCTGGAAAAGGCAAGGAAATGGTTTCTCCCCTACAGCCAAGCACAGAGGGAGCAGAGCCCTGTGGACACCTTGATTTGTGCCCAGTGAAGTTGACTTTGAATTTCCGATCTCCAGACTGTAAGTGAATAAATGTGTGTGGTTTTAGGTCACCGAGCTTGTGATAATTTATTATAGCAGCCATGGGAAACTAATACCTGCCTTTTGCAGCCAAGACTCCAAACACAGAGGGGACACAGCTAATACAAACAGTTTATTTGGCATTTATTTAGCACTTTCTATATACTAGGCACCATATTGAGTGCTCACAATAACCCAGTCATCTGCAAAGAAACTGAAGCTCAGAGAGGGTGAGCCACTTGCCTGAGGTCACAGAGCTTGGAAGTGGACGAGTCAGGATTTGAATGTGGAAAGTTGGGTTCGAAAGCCAGCCCTCACAAATCTGTACTCACCTGCCTGCTCGGTATATCCACAGACCTCTTAGTGACAGTGTTAGAGATAATGTTATCAGCTAATATTTATTGGACACAGGATGTAGGCACTGTTCTGAGCAATTCATGTGTATTAACTCACTGAACTCACAATGAGGTGGGGACTTCTATTATTCTCATCTGACAGATGATAAAACTAAGGCACAGAGATTAAGAACTATCTGGATAAGATCACATAGCTAGTAAGAGACAGAGGTGAGATTTGAACCCACAATACCCTGCCCCTCTGTAATGATGAACTCTCATTTGATAGAAGGGGACCCGAGGGCCCAGAGAGGCGCAGGAACAATTCAAACATCACTGAGCAATGACTGACCTCTCCTGGGCTGGGACCCAGCCAGGCTGCCTGCACTGCGGTTGACATGCTGTGTGACCTCAGGGAAGTCAAGATGCCTCTCTGGACCTCAATTTCCTCCCCTGAGAAATGAGGGGGTTGGGCTGGACCAAAGTGTGGTCCTCAGAGTGCCTGCATCAGAATCGCAGGGGAAGGCTGGTGAAACATATTTACATGAGTGTCACCCACAGCAGATCCTGAATCTGGGGAAGGGGACACTCCTCACTATTCAACAGCCTGACTGTTGGCCATGTGCCGTGCACTGCTCTAGATTCTGGTGACAGAGCAGTGAACAAAAGAGGCAAAACTGCCTACCCTCTCCTGTGGCCCAGCGCAGAATAAACAAATAAAACATGAAGTACGGCAGATGAGTTGTCACTAGAACTAGTCTGAATGCAATGGTTTACATGAACACATCTTGTGCACCATCATTTAACATCAGCTGATATCCCACAGGTTTCTTTAAAACAAATTTGTAGACCCCAATTTTTCACTCAAACCCACTTCCATGGAGGAATTTAGATGAACGTGAGCTAGTAGACAACGTTTTCATTTACACTAGTACAAATATACACGTTTTTAGGGAAGACTAGCTTGACAGCAACAGTTTCATTAAAACCTGAGAAGTGAAGCAGGGAAAGGGGATAGCAAATGCCAGGGGTGGGGTGGGGATGCCACTTGAAGAGGGTGACCTGGGAGGGCTCACTGAAAGATGACATGGGAGCAGAGACCTGAAAGGTGGAAGGGGAGGAGGAGGCGAGGGAATCCTCATTTTTTCAAACGCCTCTCAAGACTGACAACCAGCATGACCACGCATCTACGGCTGCCTCCTGTTTGAGGCCCCAAAATAATGAACACATTTGTTGTGCAACTGCTCTGAATCCAGCACCATCTCTCGGAATCCCCGCAACAGGAAAGGTGGCATTTCACAGAAGGAGAAACTGAGGCTCAGGGCAGGGTGTCCCTGGGCCAAGTCACAAAGCCAGGAAGTGGCAGAGCTGGGAACCAAACCCACAGCTGCCAACTCCTGGGGTGGGGTTCGGGGTGCCCTCCTCTTCCTCCAGGACCTCAGGCTCCTCAGGGTGTATCTTCAGTTGAGATGGATCCAACCCTCGACAGTCTGGGGGGCCTTCAGCACCCACTTCTCCATCTCCCGCCTTCATAGGGAGGGGTCTGTCCCTGATCCGGTCACTGGGATCCGGATGCTGAGGTGACGGTGGGGTGGGGCTGCTGTTGGTCAGCTCCAGGCTGTGAGGAGGCAGAGGGGGCTGAGAGAGAGAGAAGGGGGGCCTCAGGCAACAGGGAGGGCTTTCTCCATGCTGCTGGTGTCTCCTCCCAGGTCTCATTTGCCCTGGGGGCCCAGGGAGGCCATCTCTCTCCAAAACCCTCCTCAGGGAAATGGCAGATATTCCCACGGCCTCAACCACCAACTGTACATGTCTCTTCATCCTCACAGCCTTGAACCCAGCTCATGCGTGTCCTCACCCAGCCTCCTTCCTGGCCTCTTTGCCTCCGGTCTCCCCTCTTCAGTTCATCCCCCACGTGGCCCTCGAGGAGTCTTTCTATCCTCCAGAGCTGCTCCTGCCTCTTCCCTGCTCACAATCCTCCCATGGCTCCCCAGCACCCCCAGTAGAAAAATGAGCTCCTCAGCCTGGTGTTCAAGGCCCTTCACAATATGGCTTCTTAAACCTAACCCTTGCCTTCCTCGTGTGACCTCCCTCTCCCCAGCTAGCTCAACCACGCTCACAGTACCAAAGACTGACAGCACGGGGACCTCCCTCCTGAGCCCCTTGGATGACCTGCAGGCCCCTCACACTCATGACATCCATGCTGACCTCAGAGTGTTCCTCCAAAGCCATTCCTCCTCCTGGGATCCCCATCTGTGGATAGCCTCCTTGTCCATCTAGTCACTCAGCCAGATCCCCCGGGAGGCTACGCCCCTCCCTTCTCCTCATTACCCCTTCCCCACCTGTCAGCCCCCAAGCCCCATCCCTCCTGCATTTTCTTTCTCCTTGTATCCTCACCTCTGTCCTCATGGCCCATGTCCCTGCTCAGGGCTCCTCCTCTCCCCCCGGATCATCACTCCAGACTCCTCTCTAGCCTCCCCGCCCCCAGTCTCCCCAGTCCAGTCCATCCCCCACACAGCCCCAGAGGGGTCTTTCTTTACCCAGAGCTGATCTTGCCCCTCTCCTGCTCACAGCCCTCCCATGGCTCCCCAGCACCCTGGGACAAGCATCAGGCCCCTCAGCCTGGCAGTTGATATGCCCCCTGCATACTCTCCAGCATCACTCTCACTGTATTTGCCTGTGGACCTCACATGCCAAAGGCAGCCCCTCCTGCTGCAAGTGGGTACCTAACTCTTCCAGCAAGACGCATTAGTACCTGTTGTTCCCCCACATCTGATACGCCCTCTCAGAGCTTCTGTCAGACTCCAACTCCTGCTTCAAGGCACAATTCACACCTGTTACCCACGCACACACTCACCCTGCCCCTCCCCATTCATACATGCAGAGGCCACCTCCAAGCACTGCCGGAACCCCCATACAAACAATGGTCTCTCCCAACCAATTCCATCCCCCTCACTCGGACACACAATGAACTCGCGCACCTCAACCTCCCACCTCCCCACCCAATGAACTCGCCCATCCAGAGGCTCCGCCTTCTTTTCCTTGCAAAGGTCTTCCAAGCCTCGCCCCACCCTTCAAAGAAGGGTCTCCTGAAGCCCTCTCCTCTTCCAACTGTTTGGACCCCTTTACTCCCCGCTACATTTCCCCCCGACCTCCGCGACAATGGTCTCGCCCGCTGAATGGTCCCTGCCGCACCAGGCCCACTACTGCTGCCCCTCTGCTGGAGACTTGGTATGTCCTGGAGGGGCAGAAGAGAACGGGAGTCGGGCGAGACCATTACCCGAGAGGGGGGTGAGGCATGAACAGAGTCCCTGTTCAACTGGGAACGGACCGAACCGCTGGCTCCCCCGGTGCCTTTTAGATTCGACCGGTGTCTCCCCAGACTTCGCCGCCTCCCTATCGCTCCCCCCACCCCACTTAGTGCCGTGCTCTGTACCTCCCTGTCCAGGTATACCTTGGGTTCACGGGAGTCTCGGTCCACGCTAGGACTCGGGCGCGCAGCGTATCCGGCCCCCCTGAATGCGCATGCGTAGTGAATTTCTGGACCAGTGCCCAGTATTTATCAGGGGGTTGACTTGGGGAGGTACTCCCCGTTCAGCGCCACCAAATTCCCTTCGAACATCAACCCACAGCTTCAGTCTCTCAAAAGAAAAGGGGAGGGCTGATATATAAGAACAACCAATTACTGATATGCTTGGCATGTACGAGACAGTATGAGCACATTATTTTCAATTCTCAAAACAGCCTTGGTGAGTTAATATTATCCCCATTTTCCACATGAAGAAACTGAGGCTCCGAGAGAATAAGCCTCAATAAGTGCATGACAGAGCCCTACTGGGAGCCGGTTAGTTGAGTGTGACTCTATGCAGGCTTTCTTTCTGCTAAAATGAGAGCCATTGAAAGTGCAGGGGTGGAGGTTGTGGGGGACCGACTCTCCTCTAATGTGTGTGTCCTTAGGCAAGTCACTGAACCTCTCTGATTTAATTTCCCCAGATGGAAAACGGGCACAATGCCCACCTCCTGGGTGTCTGGGGATCCCATAAGTGAAACCCCTGGCACGATGTAGTTCAGGGCTAATTAAATGTCAGCATGGGGTCAGGCATGGGCCTTTGATGAGAGAAGAGGGCTAGGTGGGGGCCTGTGAAGAGGGTTTTCTACCATCTACACAAAGAGTTACTGCTACCCATCTCCTGCCAACTGTTGCTACAAAGAACACAGGTCCAGGTGTTGCTAGAGAGTCTGAGGTGGCCTGCCTCAGCAGAGTGGATTTCAAACCATTTTTTGGAACCCCAGGATTCTTCCCAGGTGCAGTGAGGCCAAGTTGGGGAACTGGCTAAGGCAAGGAGGCAGGGCCCTGTGTACCCCAACTCCTGCTTTAACTTCAGTAATAATTTTGATGATGACAGGCAGTCTGCTAAACACATTCTATGTGTCACCTCAGTTAATTCTCAAACTTATGAAATGGATACTGTTATTATTCCCACTTTACAGATGAGGAAACTGAGGCACTGGGAGTTAATAATCCTGCAAATAACAACGAATTCCATAGAACATCCCAAGTCCTCCTCTCCCACCTCCTCATCTGTTTTCTAATGTCCTCCTTACCCCTGTGTCCCAATCCCTCCTTTATCACCCGAATTCCTGGTATCAATTCCTATGTACCCCCCAATAACACCCAATCTCCCCTGTAATATCACTGCTCTTGAATTCTGAATAGGTTCTATTCACTTAACATAATTTATGGAGTGTCTCTGTGCCAGGCATAATTCTAGGCACTGGAATGTTCCATGATGAACAGGATGAGATCTCCCCCTAGTGGGGAAGATGAACAATTAAAAGATAAATGATAAATGAACAAGATAATTTTAGATACTGATAAGTTTTCTGAAAGCAATAATACAGGAGGATATGATGGTTGCTGGCACTGGGAAGGGGGTGGTGGCTACTTGAAATAAGGTTGTCATGGGAATCTTCTCCCAAGAGGTGACATTTAAGCCTGAAGTGCAAAGAGCTGGATGGGTATTCCAGGCAGAGGGAACGGCAGGGGTTAAAATTGGATCAAGCTGGTCCTGTTTGGGGAACAGGGTGCAGCCTGCTGTAGGTGAGGCAGGAGGGCAGGTGATAAGAGATAAGGCTGGACAGTTAGGAACCGGGAAACTCCACACTCACTGTAACATCCCATTTCATCCTAAACATCAGCGCTGGCTGATAGAACTTTCTGCAATGATGGAAATGTTCTAAGACTTCACCATACAATACAATGGGGCCATTAAGTATTTGAAATGTGATGTGACTAAGGAACTGAATTTTTAATTGTATTAAATTATAATTAATTTAATTTAGCCACATGTGGCTACCTGCTACAGTACTGGACAACACAGCTATACAAATACCATTACACCTCAAAATACCACACTCTTCCTATAACTCCCTCACTCTCCCCAAACATCCCAGTGCCTCCTGCAAGCCTCCATTCACCCTTATAAGAACTCTCTAACAACTGCACATGCTTGAGCAGCCTGCTTCTCTCTCCTTTTACACCCTACCACCTTCTTGTTGCTTCCACAAGGTCCGCACACCCCCAACTCCCCGCCCCGCCCCCCCCCCCCGCAACACTTCCCAAAGAGGAGTTACGTGTTACATGGCAGACTCTGAGGCCAGACTGCCTGGTTCCAAATCCTGGTTCTGCCACTTCCGATGTGTGATTTTGGTCAAGTTATTTAACCTCTCTGTGCCTCAGTTTCCTCATCTGTAAAATGGTGGGATGATAGTAATGCTACCTCATAGGATTGTTGTGAGGCTTCAATATGGTGCTCATTTGAAGCAGAGATGGTGCAAGTAGCCTCATTACATCATCTGTTCTACTATTGTATAGGGTTGAAATTTCCTATGGTAAAGAGCTTTTCAAAACAAAAGCACTTAGCATAACCCCAGCCACACAGTAATGTTGGCTTCAACACTCCTCCTTTCCCTGACTATCCCCAGCTCCTCTTCCTACAACCCCATTACTCTGTAATGCTCCACATCCCCCAAAATAATACATTCTTCCCAAACACCTCAATTCCCTAAAATTAGGGTTGCCAGATAAAAATACACACTGCCTAATTAAATTTTACTTTCAGATAAACAACAAATAACTAAAATACTATGTGTTGTGAAATTTGAATTTAACTGGGCAGTGCTTTTCCCCCAAATCTGGCAACCCTATCCATAACACTAACTTTGCTCACTAAGGAATCCCCAGGGCTTCCCAGAGGCTGGTACTTAGTTGGTCTTCTAAAATAGTGCCAGAATTAATTTACATAATATCCCAATTCCAACTTTTTCTTATAGTCTAGGTCTTCCCAATTGCCTGTTTCTCCCATGGGGGACAACATCCTCCTTTTCCTGTAACTAACTCCTCCATAAAACTCCAAACCCCTCTATAGTCACGCACGTCCTGCTCACCACTGTATTCCCAAAATCTAGCCTGCCTGGCACACAATAGGAGCTCTACAGGTAATTTCTGAATGATTAGTGAGTTTAACATCCTAATTTTCCCTACTGCATTTCCACTTCCCCAAAAGCATCCCAGTTACCTATTAGCATACCGATTTCCCCAATGACCTCCCCAAATCCCCTTATTACATACGAATTCACCAAGACACTCCCACCTTTCAAAACACCCAATTCCCCTGGTATCACCCCAACTCCTCTTTTTTCAAACCAATTCCTCCATCACACTCTCCATTCCGCCAGGAGCACCCCAGTTCCCCAGCTGTTACTCTAACTCCTCCCATGGCATCCCTAAACCCCTTCCTCTCATCCCCGCCCCCTTCTGCTCCGGGGTTACCATGGCAACGCCCACCTTTGGAATCCCCTTCATCCCTCCCACTGCAATACCCTCCGCTTGCAGAGCCTGGCCCGTCACCATGGAAACTGGAGCGATCCCTTCCACCCTCCTCACGCCGAAATGGTGGTCCAGGGACCCAGATGCCTCGGACCGCGAGAGTGGGGAGAGACGAGGGCTCCACAATGCTCAGCGAGCACAGCGACCTACTCATTCCTCCGCCTCCCGCGACTAGGCGCCCTGCTGCCCGCACAAGCTCAGAGGGAGCGCCAGGACCGCCGATTCTACTGCGCAGGCGCTCACGCTTAGCTGGACAGCGCTGGTGGCCCTCAGCCTCCTGGGAGTTGTAGTTTTCTGGCTGCTACAGCCGGAGACACAGGTGAGCTGAACAGGAACAAGGTTACTGAAGCTGGGAATCTGTGGCCAGGCTCCATTGTCACCACAGCAATGATGAGGCATGATGAAGCACTAGCCTTACTAGCCAGTCTGCTGTTTTTATTCTTTCATCTTGCTTAGTGCTTACTTTGCACCAGGCGCGGTTCTAGGCATTGGAGATACAATGGGAAACAAAATAGAGCTTATATTTTGGTGGGGAGAGATTGACTGTTAATAACAACACGGCGAAAACAGATCACTAGAGAAAACAGTATGTTAATAGGTAATTGATAATGTTAACCTAAAATTAAAACAGTTATTTACCAGCAAAATGGGTTTATTCGAGAATAGCAGAGGAATTGCAATTCTGGACAAGCAAGCTATAGCAGAAGCCATAGGCAAGTCCAAACAGCAAAGGAGAGGAATTTATCTTATAGAGAAAAAGGAGGAAGTTGGGAAGGGTTGTTTTGAACAAAAGTCCATTGTTGGAAATCCAGAGTTCAGGGTGGTGACGGTTTCTCATTGGCTGCGTTGCTGGGGTAGTGGATTTCTTGTTGGGATGCAATGTACATCTCTTCCTGTTGGGGTCTGTTATTGACCATTCTTTCCTGTAACTGACACCGACGGGTTAGGGCGCCCCCTTCTGGCCTCCCATCTCCATTTTTTAAATGAGGTTTCTCCTTATTAATTTTCGCAAGATGCTTTGGGGGAAGTGGAAAAGCCGGCAATGTGAGAACATGCGTCACACGCTAATTCATCTATCTTCACAAAACCCTGTGAGGGCTGTTATTATCCCCAAACTGTAACCTAGCGAGATTAAGCAACACAAAGGCACATAGCAAGTACATAGTGGAGCTGGGATCTGAACAAAGAGAATCTGGCTTCATACTCCGTAAGCTTAACCACAGCGCTAAACTGAGCTATTGTGGCATAATTTCAGGTAAGGATAAGTGTTGTGAAGAATAAAGCAGAGAAAGGGGATGGAGCAACTCTTTAAACAGACTGTTCAGACTGGCCTTTAGGAGGAGGTGACATCTAAGCAGAGGCCTGAAGGGATTACGCTGGGCATGTGGGGCATAGAGGTTCAAGGGTCATGACCTTTGGGTTTTCTCTCACCTTCCTGAAGGGCAAAATACCCTGACACCTGCTGTTCCCTCTGCCAAGAATGCTCTTTCCCATTTTCTCTTCCTGGCAAACACATCATTCAAGACCCAGTTCTGTGAAGAACCTTTTGATCTGTCCTGTCTTGCTAACCATAAATCTCTTTGTCCTCTGGACTTGCATCCAATCCATTTGTCACAATAAAGCTGCCAGGGGTGGTTTTATTTTTGTACATCCAATCAAGCTATGTCCCTGCTTTAAAATTTTTGAATGGCTTCCCATTGCTCCCAGGATACAGACTCACCTCTTCCTGTACCTATAATGCCCTGCTGAGGTCACTATCCATCTCTCTGTCTCTCTTACACCGTGACCCACCTCCACTGGCCCTTCTTCAATTTATATTGTAGCCTGAGTTCTTTCCCTCCCCAGGACCCGCATCCAAGAATCTAATGATAGAAGAGTCAAGTGGAGAGGTTTTGGACATTAGTCTGAGCTGGACTGCTTTGGGTTTGCCTGGCCAGGATTCCTCCTGCCTCCTTTCTATAATGACCCTCCCTCCCCACTCTCTGCAATCCTGTACATTCTATCTGCCCTGTCAGCCTGCTACAGGAATGGGCATATGTCCAGGCTGCCTAAAAGAGCAATGATTCTCCAAGTGTGGTCTTTGAACCAGAAGCATCAGCATCATTTGGGAATTTACTAGACATGCAAATCCTCAGGCCCTGCCTTACACCTGCTCAATCAGAAACTCAGGGGATGGACACTCCCAATCTGTGTTTTAACAAGATCTCTAGGTAATCAATTTCCTGAGGTCCATTCAAGTTTGAACACATAATAAAAGACACATAAACAATAAATGCTTATTGCTAAATACCTTTGAATTGTTATGGTTGTTACACAGCATTCACTTAGTAAAGCCAATCAGCTTCTTCCTTGAGATTTGATATATGGATGCTGGTGGAGAGGTCTTTTTTTTTTTTTTTTTTTTGAGGAAGATCAGCCCTGAGCTAACATCCATGCTAATCCTCCTCTTTTTGCTGAGGAAGACTGGCTCTGAGCTAATTTCTATTGCCAATCCTCCTCCTTTTTTTCCCCAAAGCCCCAGTAGATAGTTGTATGTCATAGTTGCACATCCTTCTAGTTGCTGTATGTGGGGCGCGGCCTCAGCATGGCCGGAGAAGCAGTGCGTCAGTGCGCGCCCGGGATATGAACCCGGGCCGCCAGTAGCAGAGCGCGCGCACTTAACCGCTAAGCCACGGGGCTGGCCCTAGAGAGGTCTTTTTGTATCAAGATTTGAGGATATAAGATTGGAGCTTGAAGTGGCTATCTTTCTCAGCTAAAGAAGAAGGCCTTCTTTTGAAGGAGGCCATGATGCAAACAGCACACCCACAAGGTAGAGTTTGAGCTTCTGGACTCAGCTGTACCTGAAGCCTTTAATTTCCCAGTGACTTAAATCGCTGAACTACCTTTTACGTTAAGCTCCTTTGTTGCTACTCAAAGTGTGTTCCACATAGCAACTGCATCATCGGAGAGCTTTCTAGAATTTTAGGCCCCACTGCAGACTTGCTGATCCAACTCTGTTTTAACAAGGTGCTCAGGTGATTTGTATTCACATTAAAGTTTGAAAACCGCTGAGCTACTTTGACCTGGATTTCTGTCACCTGCAATAGATTTCAGCCCCCCTCATCAGTTGGGATAAGACCCCAACTCAAACTCCCTTAAGTCATTATAGTGTCTTTTTTTTTTTTTTTTTGCTGAGGAAGATTGGCCCTGAGCTAACATCCATGCCCATCTTCCTCTATTTTGTATATGGGATGTTGCCACAGCATGGCTTGATGAGCGGAGTAGGTCCGCACCCACAATCCAAACCCGTGAACCCCAGGCTGCTGAAGCAGAGTGTGCAAACTTAACCACTATGCCACCGGGCTGGCCCCTATAATAGCTTTTATCTGACTTAGGAAGCCCCGCAGTAGGGCAGAGTCCACTAGGTTAAGCAAGGATGCAGATTTTCTCATCTCTTAGGTCTCATCCTCAGCGCTGGCTTCCTTCTCACACTCTATTAAGATGCTCGCAAGTAGGTCTAGTCCTGGCCATTTCATTCTGGGGCTTCTTCTTAGGCTTGAGAGCACCTTTATCAGAAGCCTCCTGCCCTGAGCAGACCCACTGACCAGGATTGGGTCACACACCCTTTCTTCAACCAATCTCTGACACACTGACCAAGATGGGCATGGACTAGTCACTTGAGGGTAGAATCCACGCGTGTTGGCAAGTTGCCACCATTGCATCCTGGTCCAAGTGAAGGACGACGAGGCCCGAGCTGCCAAGGAGATGGATTCATTCCTGTCCCCACCATTCCATCTAGCCCCAGCAGGCCTTGTTGAGAGAAAAAAATGGAGGAATGCTGGACCATCTCAATTTCCCTCTGGGTCTGGGCCTCCCATCCTCCCCCAGAAGCCAAGAACTCAGCACAGAAACCAAAATAATACTGTTTTATTCCAATCTTGAAGCACAGTAGTCCAGACGGTTCCCTCCCCTCGTGGAGAGCCTCCAGCCCATCCCACCAGACTCCCCAGCGCCCCCTTATTCTCCCCCCGTTATTCTGTCCTCCAGAAAGGACTAGAAGGCGAAGGGGATCTAAGCCTCCAGGCCTTAGAGAAATACCAAATCACCCCCTCTCCTTCCTTCTCTGCCCATCTCCCACACCTCTCCTTTGCTGTGTCTCCTTCCTTTCTTCCCTCTCCTCCACCAACTCCTCCTCCCCTTCCCATCACCTTCTCCTCTCCTGCCTCCCCCTGCTCGTCATCTCTCTTCTCCATTTCTGCCTCTTCTCTTGTCCTCTCTCCTCCAGTCTCCCCTGCTGTCTTCTCTCCCTCCCTCTCCTTCATTCGCCTCCTCACTTTCTCCCGTGCTTTATTCCCTTCCCCCCTTGCACTCTCGGGACTGACCAGCCTACTCCTGCCAGGCTGTCCCCATAGCCTGGTGTCCTCCCCTCCCCCAGCTTTGTCCCTTTCTTCCTTTCGCCCCAGCCTGACCCTGTCTACACCTCTCATCACACATTCCCTTTCCAGAGGAAAGCCCTCAGAATCCAGCCTGGTCACCACCGTCTTCCACAGCTGTGGCTCCAGGACCTCAGAGACCACACCGTCAGCTTCCCCTTGGACCCAGAGAGGCCAACTGCCAAGATGAGGTCCCTGGATGACCCAGGAGGTGGCTGGAGGGACTTGGGTGGCCTCCTTGGCCTCAGCCCTGTTATCTTTGGGATCGAAGAATGCCCTCCCGGCCTCACGGTGGAGGGTGGCGGGCAGGGGCCGGAAGGGTCAGGGCTCTGGGGCTCTCCCCCAGCAATCCCTGAGCAGGTCCATGTGGAATAAGGCTGCACCGGTGAGGAGGCGCGCGGCGAAGAGGTGGCGGCAGGGCAAACGTCGGGCGGCGTGGATGGAGCAGCTGCAGCGCGTCAGGGCCCCGTCCAGGAAGAAGTCCGAGGTGCCATCCTTAAGGGCAAAGCCAGCTCCTGTCCAATGGAAACCCCGGGTCCCGTGCTGCCTGGCGAAGGCCAGCTCCTCGGCCACCAAGTCCGCCAGCTCTGGCCCGCAAGCTGCTCGGAACTTGGCCAGGGGCTCCCAGTCCACCTCCTCCTCTCCGGAGGGGCAGCAAGGCCTCTTTGGTTCCCTTGGGCCTTCTCCTTCACCTCCTTCCTGCAGGCTCTCCCCCGCGGCCAGGTACACGCTCCTTGTCACTGCCCACTCTGGGTCACCCTCAAACACAGTCTCCACAGTGGTGCCGCACACAACTCCATTCCCCAGCCCTAGACACCTCCCTCCTGCGTCCCCACACTCCACTCCTTGCCCTCCTCTGCTCCTGGGGCGGCCAGACCGGGCTCCCCCTCCATCCCCATTCTCCAGGCCTGTCACCCTTGTGTCCCCCAGCTGGACTAGAACTACATCCTCGAGGTCCCTTCTTCTTTTCACCCCCAACTTCACTCCTCTCTCCTCTCTCATTTCCGGCCCTCTCTGCCTCTCATCTCTCCACTGGGACCCCCTTTGATCTCCATTCTCAGGGATCAATTCTAGGGGCTTCTCCCAATGGACTCCCCTCCAGTTTTGGAACTCCAGCCCCCTTTCCTTCTCTGCTTCCAACTGAGGCCCCTTCCAGTCTCTGGTTCTCAGTCCACTTGCCCTTTCCTCATGCAACTGGCCCCCCCTCCAGGTGCGCCCTTCAAGACCTCTGGCTTTCTCATAATCCAACAGGGTCCCCCTCCGGTCTGTGGTCTCCAGCACCCTAATCCTTCGATCCTCCAACTTGGCCATCCTCCAGGTATACCCTTCCAAACCTCTCAGCCCCTGGTCTTCCAACTGGGTCCCCCTCCAGACGTAACCTTCCAGTCCCCAGTCTTTGTCATCCTCCAATGGGGCCCCCCTCCAGTCTCTGATCTTTGGCCCGCTCAAGTGCTCCTTCTCCAACTGGGACCCTCTCGAGGCACTCCCTTCTAGCCCCCTCACCTTCTGGGTCTCCAACTGGACCCCTCTCCAATCTCGGATTTGCAATCCTCTCCCCTTCTCGCTTTCTAACCAAGCCCCTCCCCGGTCTCTGGTCTCCAGTTCTCTGACCCACTGCTTCTCCAAATGTGCTCCTCTCCAAATATTTCCTTCTTTCGGGGCCCCTCCCCAGTCGCCGCTCTCCATGCCCTTCACTCTCTCGTTCTCCACCTGGGCTCCTCTCCCCAGCTCGCCCTCCAGCCAAAGGCCCCCACCATCCGGGCCGTCGGGCGCCGCCTCCCCGACCGCGTCGGCCCACTGCATGGCCACCAGGTCGCGAAGGCACTGCGCCACGCTGCGCGAGGGGCTGAGGCGGCGCAGCAGGCGCCGGC